AACAACACTATTAGGAGTGTAACAGTTCGGAGGGGCTAGACCAGGAATCGAACCTTGTACTTCAAGTTGTTATACTATCGTTATAACCAACTGATTTATCAGGTCAAATGAAGCGTCTTGGCCAAAACTTGCAACAGTTGTAGCCAAAACGAAATCTAAGGGGGTAGCTGTATATGTTTTATTCAAAACCACAGTGCAGTGGGACAGGATTGCTTGATCAATATTGATAACAACCTTATTGACTTAACACAAAGTCATCGATGAAAGTAAAAACAAAAACGTATAATTTGTATTCCAGTAGTTTTGACCTCCATTTCCTTATAAGAAAATACCTGGCTTGTAAAGTGTTCACGTCATAGTTTTACTACATCGCTTTGTCTTCTTGATGTGAGCAGTTTATTGATAGATACGTCCTATTGACTATACAACTGTGTATCCCAGGTAGGTTCTGAAAGAATTAAATAGATATTAAAGTAATGTTACTTTCGTCATTTTGGTCTGGTTGTCAACTATAAGACGCCAGTATCATCAACCTTTTAGGTCGCGTATACTGGGACGTATTTCTCTCTGAACTTAATGTTTTGTTTATATTTGACTGGATGCATTATGACCAAGGAAGTGCTTGTCTTTAACGACAAGGTTTACCCTCAGGTTTTATTGCAAATTCCTTGACGTCATCCTTCTGTTATGATTTTTTGACTGTTTCGACTGTTGTTTTTGAGTTCAAATTTCTCTTTTTGTGTGTTGAAATTGTGTAATTTAAATACCGATTTGTTGTCAAGTGGTTTGACTTCATTTAGTAATATTCACATTGTAAAATGCCGCATTGTCGAGACATGTCAATTTCTCCCAAAAGATAGATGGTGTTGTTTTTTTAAACATGTTCATATATCTTTGTGATAGTCGGTCTTTCCGTTACGTGGATCAATGCGTGAACTACGAGACAAGCCGACAACCTGCTAGGAAAGTTGTCAGCTTGTGGTGTCAAATGAGGTAATATTCTTGATCTGAAGATTAAACTGTGCACTTTAACAGAAATATCTCTGCTGTATCCGTTTATCTCGCCAGACCTGATCACGTTTTGACGTTGAGAACGTGACAAACGTTGTAGCGCCGTCTTGTTTCCAACTTGGACCCTAGCAAAGTTCTGTTTTATACGGATATGTCCTCAATTCCAAAAAAAAACACCACGAAAACGTGACACCTAACAGGAATAAGTATCAGAAACAATCGTTTTCTTGTTTAAATCAATTTCTTGCAACTAATTACCGTCGTTTGCTTTGGCTTGGTAGGAGTTGAAGCACATTTATTAACGGGAAGTGAGATCAAATATTTAATAGTGACTTAACTAGAAACTAAACAAAAAATCTTGCTTGAAAAGTGATTTATCTGGAACACTATTATATGAAGACATAATGACGTGATTTGTGATGCCGAGGGACATACTTCTCTCGTGATGGTGGTCTTACATCTATAAATGCCACCCGGAAGTGTCGCTGGTCATTTACAAAATGCAGTTGCCACAATCGTTTTCCACTGACAATGATGAAAATTGATAAGACCTTTACAGTTTGTGCCAATAAGCGACCGCTTGTGAACGATCAAGTAGTCGAATTATAAAACTACATTCTGTATTCAAAGTTTATATTCATAAACACTTATGTGATTAAAAGTCAACGTATTTAGGACGACTATTCGCTGTGTATAACTATGAAACATTCTCGCACGTGAAAACTATTCATGTTCAGAGTATTTGGGGAGTGATTTTATATTCGTTAAAATGTTACTTTCATTTGTATATGATTTTATATATGCGTTGTCATTATAGACCTAATATGATATGGACAATATGTTCGATAAATGTAAGGTTGACGGACATTGGATCTTTTTGTTTACATAAACATCCAGTTTATGCAGACTGCGTTTCTGACTACATTGCAAAATTGAATTATATTATTTTATCAAAAGTTTTACCTAAATTCACTAAAAGATCTTTGCGTTGAAAATTTTATTTTCAAATATTATCATTATTATAGCATATTTCTTGTCGTTTCAGACCCGTGTTCCATTCCTCTGACAGGATACGAGAGTTTTATCAGAGACGTACCCGAGAACACACCTGTCGGTAGGAAACTTAACAAAGCTACTTTTGCCTTGATTACCTGTACTGCCAAGGTATCCGGATTGATAACCTAGTTTTAACACGAATAACTGTATATTGATTAGTAGAGTATAACCTTTACTTTAACACAAATCATAAGTATAATGTGTAAGGTAGCATATGACCTTAACTCTAACACAAACAACAGGTATAATGTGGATGGTAGCATAAAGCCTAAACTCTTAGTTCTAACACAAATCACAGATATAATATGTAAGGTAGCACACAACCTTAACTCTAACACAAATCACAGGTATAATGTCGAAGGTAGCATATAGCTTTAACTCTAACACAGATCACAGGTATAATGTGTAAGGTAGCATACAACTTTAACTCTAACACAAACCACAGGTATAATGTGGAAGGTAGCATATAGCCTTAACTCTAATACAAATCACAGGTATAGTGTGGAAGGTAGCTTGTAGTTCACAAACCGCAGGTATAACGTGTACAATTTAACCTTAAGGCGTTGACCATTTGGCAGGTTCAGTTTTGGGGAAACTGAAGGTATCGGGAGGGTCGGACGAGGTGGAGTTAACCCAACAACCAAACGATTATCTCCTCCTGGATCAAGCCAGCCGTAACATCACCCTCCAGAGGGCGCTGGACACAGACCAGGGAACCAGTACTATCATTCTCAGGGTCGAATGTAGCATCAGAAAGGAAATCGACTCGCCTTCGGTAGGTCTGCTGACGCATCTAGATGACGTCTTGCGTCGATGACGTCTTGCGTCAAAATAAACAATGTCGCCACTAAATATACAAGTGTTATTGTTGAATATATAATATTGCTATATTGCAAAGACAAACAACTAAAATTTTCTATCAGATGCTGGCTCAAAAATATATAATGTGTATTGCGTTCTAGAGCGAAAATATACATGTTCATACTGTGAAATCACTAATGTTCGTGGGGTTATTAATTGTGTTGATTTCGTGGGTTATCTTCATCCTTGAATTCATAGGTCCACGAAGTAGTAACAAGTTTAATATAGGGCAAGTATCCGTTTGAGTTAGTACTCGTGACCCACGAACTCGTATACAATGTAATCTTAATCTGTGCAATGTAATACGATCATCATTAAGCGGACATCAGACTTTACATCTTGACGACAAAAGTGTGTGGTGTTTTTATTTGTAATGATGGTGCGTTTCATCATTAGAAACATATAATTGCTTCTTCATACATAGAAAAGCTTTGTGTAAAACTTGTAATTACTTCGTGGACCTATTAATTAATAGACGAAGAGCAGCCATGAGTTCAACGAAACTAAAACCCCAACAGAGATTAGTGATTTCACAGTATTTGATCGCGTTATTCAATAAAATAGTTTAAGTGTTAATTTAAAAGACTGAGCTGAGTTAGCAAACTTCGTTTTTGAATGTTGACATGTTAACCGTTTGCATTTCTACACTACAGATTCCCCTGATGGTTAGGGTCATTCTTGAAGATGTCAACGATAACCCGCCAGTCTTCTCACATTCAAACTACGTCATTGATGTTACAGAAGTAAGTCAAGCTTCAACTGCATTACTTAGGTGCATGTAATATGTTGATCGCTCTTCATTGCTTACATTTTGAGTATCTATAAATTTGTCTGAAAACACCTATTTCTTATGACAACTCTCATCCTTCAAGGACTTTGTCGGTACTATGTTTATTGATAATCAAACTACTAGCTAAGTTTGCATTTTTAAACCTCTTACTGTCAACCACGTCCATCAATGTTTAATGTATTTCAGGACACAGCCCTAGGAACAATCATTTTCCGAGACGCCATAGCAACAGATGCGGACCAGAAAGGCGGCGGAAATGACCAGATATCGTATCGAATCCTTCCCGGCTCCTACTCGAACTATTTCGACATCGAGTATCCCCTATATCCCGATATAAAACTCAGGAAACCACTCGATTTCGAGACTTTCAATAAGATGACAGTAGACATAGAGGCAAAGGTTTATAAATGTTGAGGTTATACTGTTCCTTCTTGAACGACTGGTTTCTCTATTTTTCTTGATAACCTTATGGTGTCGTACCTTTTGCTTTTGTGTCTTCACATTTATTGCTGTGATGCATTCTTGTCATTAAGTGTTTACTTCAAGGGAAGATATAGTTACCGCGTGCAAATAATAAAAATAGATACAAAATAAATTGCAGATATGCTATTTAAGGTAGAGTATAAATATTTTAAGTAAAATGTGTTTATCAAACTAATAAATAAATTGACGATAGGACGGATGGTTGTAAATTAAAAATCACAGTGAAGAAATGACAATATTGGTTTGGTGGATAAATGAAATTAAGGTTTTGGAAAAAAGCATTTCTGCTAAGATGTCTTGTAAAAGGTATATGAAAAGCATACCGAAATAGCATGTGATATGACTTACATGGTATAACGATGGTTGTTTTATCATTGTGGAGGCACGGTAGTCTAGTGGTAGGACGCCGAGCTCATGACCGAAGGGTTGTGGGTTCGATTCACGGCACGGCGCTGTGTTGTATCTTTGAGCAAGATACATTACTCCGCCTGTTTCAGTCTAATCAGCTGTAAATGAGTACGAGGTTGGGCGGTGCTAGAATTGTTGCATGCTAGCTGTGAGCGCCGAAATGGCAGCACCGGCTGTATGCTCCCGAGGGAGTTGAGAAAGATAGTGGCTGGTTGCAAAGGCCTATAACCACGGATGATAATTTGTGAACCGCTTTGAGACGACCTACGAACTAGGTTGTGATAAAGCGGTATATAAGAACCTCCAAATATTATAACTATGCTATTTTCTACAGGATAACCCTGTTCGTGGTGTCAGTATGAACAGCCGTGCCACCTTAATAATAAACGTTATGGACACCGATGACCTAATTCCCACATTCACCTCAGAATATTATTCAGGAAATGTGGATATCAATGCAACTAGGGTAAGTTTTTACAAAGTAAAGCTTTATAAGATTATTTTAAAACAGTGATTATTTCCGATCTTTATATACATTTGTGTCAAACGACTTACTTTCATTATTCAGATTCCAGGAAATATACATTTGGAACCGTACACTTGTGAGATGTTTGCATTCGTGAGTTAGTTTTGTTGAGAAATGAAACGTAAAAGCGAAGAAATGACAGTCCAAACTGTAGGAAGTCAAATAAAAGAATTCCAATTTAAACTGCATACAACCTGACGATTCACGAAGAGGAACCTTAAAGCATTGTTGTTTTAGTTCATTTTTTTTCAGAGAGCAATTATATTACGTAAGCTGATGGCTCAATAAATAGTACTACGATCAAGTAATTGCCACTCGGAAATTGTATGTCCATATAATCACATAAACTCCGTGTATCGTTACTTTACCAGGGTACTACTGTGAATTTTAGCCCGCCTCTCTTAGCTCGGGACCAGGACCAGCTCAACACTACAGTCATATATCAGATATACGGTAAGAGGCGCACTTGGACATTAACCCATAATACGCTTGGATAGTAAACAATCTAGTGTTTATGTATATTTTTATGATGTAGAAAAAGTGGTCCGGAAGTAAGCTTCGATAGGTATGGCGTTGTAGATGTGGGTTATATAGGACACCGGTTGACCTATGTAGGTTTATGTAGGTCAACCTCGTCCTCCATCTTCTTGTTGGTGCTATTATTGCTATTATAGTTATGTATATACTTTGTTAGGTTAATTTACATGTTTATACGTATGTGACGTAAGGGATTATAATGGGGGGGGGGGGGGCTCTGTGTGTTTTATTGCATTGCTGTATGAAGTTATAGGCAATACATTCATTTAAATTGTAATTTATAGTGATGTAATTTTGTTCATAAACATCCTTAGCGTGGTTTATCGTAAGGCTATATGTTTATTTCAATACTCTCCTAAACACAAAAATGTATTTTAGAGCTACTTATAAAAACCTGATTCCAGTCTCTTTGTCTTCTCTTTACAGATCCGAGTTTTCACTTCCTAATAAACAACACGACAGGAACGGTAACTGTAGACTCCAAACTGGCTAAAACAATGTACTCCGCTCTTGTCAAGGTAGAGAAGTTTACTCCCAACATCGAATCTCTAAATACTCTATCTGAAAGCTACATAGGTATATACAGACTGTTTTATATAACAATATTCATCGTATATTGATATTGCTTTTTATTATTTCATTTTTTATGTATCGTTCCTGTTTTGCAGGCGACTCAGATCGACAACCCGTTACGACATGGAATTGCACTTGTACAAATCAATGTCGCAGGATTGAACTTAACATTGCCTAACGGTCCTTCATTTCGTCAACGTTTGTACGAAACCACCATTGCGGAGAGCCAGCCACCAGGAACCACCGTTATGACTGTTCCAGTCACAGTGAAGAACCCTGTAAGTTTATGTTTTTATTGATCCCTATAGTAAATAATGTCATGTTTCACTCAACTACACACTAAGAAAGTTGATTGTCTCACTTTAATCATGTAAATATTGGTCGTAATAGCTTTAAATACTTCGTTCGACACATTTTCGCAAGAAATGTTCATGTGTCTATTTATGTTCTTAATGTGAGTCGTTTGTGAATCAAACAGAGAAAATGACAATTCGTGAAATTTGCACGAGTTATAAAACACATACATTCATATACAAGTATTTATATCGCAATGTATCATTTCGTAATGAAATGAATAAGTCATCGAACCTCACTGTTAACAGGCGGGTCCTTTGAGCTTCAACATATTGGAAAACATATCGGAGTTTGCAGTTGATCAGAGGTAACTTTCTTTCAGTAATTAATTCCTCAGAGGCAATGTAGTCTGGTACACTTTTGTAGTATATAAAGGTACGTTATATTAAAATATAAAGTTATGTTAGGAAAGATAATGGTGCAATAAGGTGTAGGACGAAATTTGAATGTTATGAATATTCATTTACCTGTATCAATGTCGTTTAACGTGCGTACGTTTTTCATTTGTTATGATAATGGTGATGGATCTTTGCCGAAGTGTTTTACATGTATATTATATTGCGCTAATCTGCTTGTTGTAGAGGAAACATCTTCCTAACCAGATCTTTAGACTACGACGGACAAGACAAAGAATATCGATTCACTCTGGAGGTGTCGGATGGTATGCATGTAAGTGATACAGGCCTACGGGATCCTCTGTGACGTTATGGTCACACGGAATATTTTTATTGAAACACATAATGCTTTAAGGATATTTTCTACCTTGGATTATATACAACTTATTTATCGTAGAAATATCTCCCTATCTAAAGTTTTGATCAGTTTTTGGTACATTGCAAGAGTTAACACGAGTGTTATCAACCTGAGTCTTATCGCCTTCTTTCCCTATGTGTTATGAATCAATCACATATAACTCGTGACACAATTCATTTGTTATGTTTAAGAAAATGTTTTTTGAAAGAAGGGTGCAAATCACTTCAAGTTAGCATACGTCCCGAAGTCTCCATGTTATAGAAAGTCACAATGCAGCATCGGTAAGTGTCCATGATACAATAAGGTTGCATACATCTTTGAGTCTCTCGGTCACAGTAAGGTCATGCCTACTGTGGTAAAGTACATAATTTGGCGCAATGCAATTTAAGCACAATATCAAATTTTAACAGATTCTAGCATGGGCGAATTAACAAAAGCACAACAGATTCACTAGAAAACAGTGAGAAACTCAATATGCGTAGTCATAACTTACTCCACTTCTTCAAGCGCGGAAAATTGTAAAATCAACGTATCGTAAAAATTCCGTCTTTGCGTATTGCAGAGTTATCTTCTCTTGGGAACAGGTATTGATTGTTACGTCACTTGTTTGTGAGAGTAACGTCATCAATTTTTGAGAAAATGACGTGATTTTCTCACACAAACCAATGACGTAACAATCAATACCTGCTCCAAAGAGAAGATAACTCTGCAATACGCAAAGACGGAATATGTACGTTAACGGTATCCTTAAGACCTGTTCACCCACAGTTTCTGCAAGCATAAAGCGACAACAGTAGAATAGGCCTACTAAACGCATTCTCGTAGGTTAGTGTGGTATCTTTTAATTTTCAACTCTATTTCTACCTCATCCTTCTTACCATTGTCTATTTCAACATCAAGCAACTACTAACTGTATCAACTTCAATTGCTATATCATTGAGGAAAGGTTGTTATAATAACTGATCACACGTGTGTATTTTTGTTTTAAGGCAAGTTACTTGTACAAACTACACTTATATTGTCATATGTGTATCATCTCAGTTCGCTACCACACCTATACATATTCGGATAGAGGACGTCAACGACAACTCGCCGGAGTTAGGGAACTCTGAGTTTACAGTGAGCACGGAACGGGTCCAGGGCGCCATCGTCACGGCCATAGAGGTACATGCATGAACTGAATATTGACATGTGCACGCAATACATTATATCATAAGGTTGATCACATATGATATAATGAACAGCTACCCCAATTAGCACAATTTTGACAAGATTTAAAGTTCTGATTCACTGATATAGGGTATATCTTGGTTTATGATAAAGACTGTCTTTGGTTGTTTATTTTCAAGAAAGGTTTTGAGGAAAGTTATTTGTTTCTTAAATTAGAGTGCCCAAGTTGGAGTGATATCACATCCGTGTTTTGGTAACGACGAGTACCCTTAATGTTATATCATATCACAGGCTCTGAAAAGTTATTTATTTCTAACAATTAGTGTTCATATCGCAAGAAAATATATAATTGTTATTGGTGTAATCGTGAACTAAGTATCCACATAAAAACACATTTAGTATGCTGTCTAATGGACCAGAAACAAAGTGTTTAAAACATTTCTACTTGCTACCTGTCATTACTATTACATATGAAAACATTATTCAACACCAATAAAATTGCCACGTATACATCACTGGAAATTAGTTGATCTGGTTGTTGTGATATCTTCTATCGTAGGGTCGGGACAAGGATCCCAACACACATCTCCAGTATCAGTTAAAAACGTATACCTCGTGAGTATATATACAGTTATATCTCAATCCTAACCAACTTTTTGCCTTGACTAGGTATCCATTTCAATAAGTAACCTGCGTTTTTGATATTTTCTTAAAAGATGAACATACTGTAAAGGTCCTTAAGATACTGTAACGTTTTTGCATGGAAGGTAGGTACAATTACTGGAATCATATTACTGCAGATTCCCCTGATGAACCTCTAAAGAGGGGTAGAGCTAGGGAAGTCAAAGAAACTCTTGTCTTTTATTTATATATATATATATATATATATATGAAATGATGTGCCTAATGAACTATGGCATTGTTTTGGTCCAACAAGCCTATCCCCCAAAACGAAAGAGAAATTAAGCTCTGCATGACCTAGGTATAAATATATGAACTTTACATAATTTGTACTTTCGTAGATTTCAGCTGGGACGCAAAGGAGATTGACATATTATAAGTCCGGTGAACTGTTTTTATGACGACATCAGCCTTATTGTCTTATTATTGACTGCGTTAACCTCGCTAATTCCCATTTTAATAGCTAATGTACAAGTTCAATAAATTCAAAATACATACACATATGAATTTTAAATTGGGAGTTTTTGAATATGACGTACACTTTATCAGGATGACTATAACGTCCTTTACTGGGCTTGTTGAACCTTGATATCTTGTGCTTCAAAAATGGTTTTATTTATTGAATGAATATTCCAATATCCAAATTAGAGGGGTGATTCACACCAGCGCACTTCTTTAATACAATCTTGTCATTAATTAATCAAAGTTTAAACTATTTGGCTTATGGTTGATACTCTTTACTATATATTTGAATGCTTTAACTTCATTTTAATTTAAGACTATTCCACATCAACTCAGTCGGAGATATTAGTATAACTGCAACACCAAGAGAACTAAAGCAGGAAAGTTACCTTTTAGTGGTCGATGTTGCCGATGATGGTGTCCCCAAGAGGTCAACAGTTGCCCTAGTAACGGTCAAGTTCCCACGCCATATGCTTATGTCCCATGGCTTGTTTGCGATAGGAGGGACCGACTTGCTAGCTGTTATATTAGGCGCACTGGCGGCTGTCCTCTTTTTTGTTGCCGTTATCCTAATAGTCTTCATAATTCGTTGGTGAGTTTATATGTAAGATTGTCTCTTCATCTGAATTGTCCGTTATGAACATATTACAATAAAAGACTAAGGAAGTAGATTTCATACAACCAGCTCTGTTTGCAAGTAAGATTTCAATAATAAACTGAAATAGCCACACCTGTAGTAGAATTACAGTGGATTGTGTGTGTGTGGTGGGGGGGAGGGGGGGGGTGGTTGTTAAAAGAAACCTGATATGGTGTTAAAACTAATATTTATGGCCAAATGGTGGGACGTAATATCTTAATCAGAATGTCCCACTAATTGTCAAAAACTAAAAGATCTGTGTGTTTATCTTTGGAAAATAGGAAACTGTCCTACACGAATGAAAAACTGACAAAAGTGAGACAACAAAACGGATTGGATCCCAAGGGACTGCTGTACACGTCTAGTAAACCTTCCATGGGCTCAGTGACTGTCGATATTAAACACAACGGTGATATTAAAAAGATACCGAACACAGATATACCAACAAATATTCAAGAAAATCCGTTATCAGAAGACAAGATGCATTATGGGTTTTCAAATATTTCTAAAGAAGGAAGTACCGATATTCATATAAACACAACTGTTATTCCATACGGAAATTCCTTTAACAATTACGAAGAACGACGGTCCTATCAGAATGTCGTTTTAAAGACTTTCCACGTGCCCGAGGGCAGTACTGGTGATAGTAACAGAGGTCTGATGAAGGTACATCTTCCTAAGACCACATTTCTGTGTCAGAGCAATAACCTTTCCTGTGTCGACAACGACCGGACCAACTCATACGACTGGGAGGTACGCATTAAGTTAACATTTCCCATTTTACAACTTTCTTTGAAGTATTTCAATTAAAAAAAATATTCTCAAAAATAAAATTATTTCTTTGCTAACAGATAATAACGGATAAAAGATAGTAACTAAAAACCGTGAAAAGTATTGTATTGACTTAAAAATAACTTGAATAAGTGTTTACGGAAAATTGCATGATATTAAACTAAGAGAATAAACGTTCTTATTGATACTTTTGTATATTAAATTGAATGTCATTTTTATGAAACAGTTATCCAGAAATGCAACTGGTAAGGTGTGAGTGCGATCTTTTGCAAAATCACTTACTGTAAATAATTATATTTCGGTAGATGAATAGTTTTGTGTGATTTCTTTCAGGAAATTAACAATTCTTTAAGAAAATTAACAGCAAACTTGCGTTCAATACATTTACTTGAGATATAAATACATATCTGTATGCATGCAATGAACATATGTACAAGGATGCTGGCAAGGACGAATCAGTATTAATTTTTGAATAGACAAGATTATGTATATCTGTTAGCGTGTAAGTTGTGAAAATTTCAAATCTGCGTCGTCTCAACTTTACTTGCAAACAAAAAACTAAAAAAAAAAGCTTTTACTGACAGAAAATGATATTCAGTACTCAACTTGCATATATGAGTATCATATGATCAGTCTTTTTAATAGATTTATCATGTTATCATTTCTTCTTTTTTTTCTGTGTTTTTTTCAGGAAAATCTACCACAGGAAATGAGGAAATCCAAAGGAAAACCTAAAATAACAGTTTATTTCTGATATTATACTAAATGATGTGTGGACAATCTTTGAGTGAAATATAAACATCTTGAATTATAGCGAAGTAAGTAAATCATATTTACGTATAGAGAGTCTTGGTGTTTTCACCAACAATGAACCACAATGCTGGAAACAAATATAGAGAGGCCGAGATTTAACAATTGAGCATATCATAAAGCCTTTTTACTTCCAGAAAAACAAATATTTACTTGCAGTAACGAAAGACATTAACATTGCCATTTCATGTTTGTTGTTTTGTTTTTCAAAGAAGTAGGAAATAAAACCCATCATTCGAAAATCCATAATGTGATCTTAAATAATGATTTTACAAGAATAAAATAAATACTATTGTTTCTTTAGTAGACTATGGACTTTTCCCAAAGAAGGCCAACTATTCTGCAAAAACTAGAAGAGTGGTTAAAACGCAAAATGTTCACAATGAAGAGACAAAGTTTAGTTCCATGGAAGGCATTTCTAACCAAACAAAAGCAATTCAAGAACTGGTTGAAAAAGATGTACAGTCAAAGCAGCCATGAAGACGCAGGCTGTCGATCAAACGAGAAATCAGTATCCGAGATACACAAAATATGAAATATCACTCGAACTTGTTGAAAATGAGGATAAAACTTTAGAATATATTCTCCCCAAATCTCCTCAGACTAATGATTCAAAGGATGAAAATGACAAACCTCCCCCAGTCCCAAAGCAAATATGGGCAAGACGTGGTGACGGAAAGGAGGAGTAGAAAAATGAACAGATTGCTTTTAACCGAGCGAAGAGGTCCCCCCACCCACTACCCACTCCCATTCCCACTCCCCCATCCCAATGGCGTACCCCTGGAGGATAGATCTTGCATACAATGTTAAGGATGTGAATTAAAATGTACGTTTGTAAGCATGTAACATGTAGCAGTTTTTTTGCACAAATTAGTTAGTATCAACTACTCTTTTCCATGCTTTATAAAACATTATTTGTTTAATAGGTCTTTTTTCAAGTGTTTTGTTTTAAAATTTCTACGTTAAATATGTGTTGCCTTTACTGTGTTTTTCCTTGTGGGACTTTCAAGACTAAAATGATGCAAATATAGTATAGTAATCAGATCAAAAACGGATACTCTGTTTATACTCTGATGTTTATGCCTTCAACTCTGATGTCAAGCAGAGTGTAACATGGATACCTACGACCCCAAAGAATATCGTTTCAAAGAATATAGTTTCAAATTATGTATATGATTTTTTACCAATTATTAAAACAAAAAATTGATACAAAGCGATTTTTGATTTGTTAACACTAGTTCGTAAAAACCGTGTTTCTATAAGTTTTGAAATGATTCAAATGTTTTGAATTTTTAGAAAAGGGAAGGTGCTTGATTTTAAATCCAAAGCAGAAGGTATTCGTCAAATAATGGAAAAAATAGCACATCGATATTTTTGTGATCGACTACCGGTAATGACTGCATCTGGTACAATAATGAAAATGTATCAAACAATCAAACAATATCAGTAGGTCATGTTGGAGCATTTCGCAGGTACGAAATAGTCTGGCAACAAATCACGTTTGAAGAGAACGTCGTTTGTTGTTTGGAGAGTGTTTGTGATAAAAATATTTAATTAAAACAAGATTAATAGTACTTTCTCATTTAAAGAAGATTGTATTAATGTGTTGGTTCAAACGATGTTGGTCATATCATAGAAGGATCCCCGTTTTTTTTCATTTCAAATCAATTTAATTGTATTAAAAAAAAAACACAATTGGATTAGGCAAAGGCATTGCCTACAAAAGCCCTTTCCAGAGAATATACATATATATATAGAGAGAGAGTATTATAGAGAAGATGAAGTATATGTTCGAATTAATAGGAGAATACTAGAACCATTTAATACATGTTCACAGAAAATAATACATGTAACTAGAATATCATAGATTTTACCATTTCAATTAATATAGTCTATTTACTTCAATTATTTATAGCCTAGTGTTTGATTGGAGGCACTTCAAAGACACTGTCACTATACACAGTGCCATCCTTCCCAATTACACCAGTTATTGTTATAACATAGCAAATACAAACACATTGTAATAAAAATTTTAGTATAGTTTAAGTTATAATCTTCCAGATTTGTCAATAAACTCCAGAACACATGAGGGAATAAATTTATTTGATTCACTGCTAAGGTTCATATCACCCTTAGTGAAAGTAACAGTATTTAAGATGATGTTGTCAATTTCGTTATAATTAGATAACGCATTGAAAAAAACTTGTCTTTCATCTATATATTTGGGGCAATTGAGGAAGAAGTGATTTGCATCTTCAATAATAAAACCACAGTCACACTTAGGATTATCTGTAAGATGATCATTATATAAATCTGATTTTAATTGGCTGTCTTTATTCCGTAGTTGACATAATGTTATATTCAACTTCCTGGAGCCACCGTATTTAAAAATATCCGTACAGTTAGATGGTTGCAAAACGTATGTGCTTTCCTTAAGTAATTCCAGTTTTAACTGGCTCAATGAAGTGAGTTTTGGAAAAATACAGTCTGGCCTATTCCACAGAGACATCATTCTATGAAAAAAAGCTATTTTTATACAAGTTGGTTCTGCACAAGGGAACAATAAAGTTTCTATGATGTCTAAGGCGAGGATTATTATCATTATTAAAATATGGTAAGATACAATCATAAAGATGGTCAGGACAGTCATGCTGCAGTATCTTGAAAAATAATATACATTGGTAATTATCACGTCTTATTTTTAGTTTATCTACACCAACCTCCTTATATATTAAGTTATGACTTGTACCTCTTCTCAAACCTGATATAATTCTGAGACATTCTAATTGGACTGATTCCAATAAGTCACTTTCACCATGGGTGCAATTATTCCACACAGCACAAGCATATTCAAGTGTTGGTCTTATAAAAGATTTATAAATTATTTCAAGAGATTTTCTATCGAGCTTGTGTTTGAGCATTCGCATTATTTGTAGTTTTGTACAGCTTTTTTTTCCATATATATAATTAACTTGATCAGACCATGATCCACGACTATTAAAAAGCAAACCAAGATGTTTATGATTTTTGACATTGATAACGACACTATTTGAGAATACCAAATCTGGATGAGAGGTCTCAGAATTATTTTTATGAGACATTAGTAATGATTCAGTTTTACTTGGATTAAATGATATTCCCCATTTATCAGCCCAGAGAGACATTCTCCTTAAATCTTCATTAAGAATATCTGCAGCATGTCTGCCATCACCATCTATCAAAACGTAAAGAGAAGTGTCATCAGCAAAGAGTTTGACATTGGATTGGAGTTCATCTTCTAGGTCATTAATAAATATTAAAAATAAATAAGGCCCGAGAACCGAGCCTTGGGGTACACCAACTTTTAATGTTTGTAATTTTGACTTGTAGCCAACTATTAATACCCTTTGTTGTCTATCAGTAAGATAGCAATGAATCCAGTTCGTCACAAATTCAATATTTCTTCAGTTTGTAAATCAATCCACTGTGCCAAACCCTGTCAAACGCTTTGCTGATGTCACAAAATACTATCCTTGCCTCTTTTCCTTGATCAAGCTGTTTTGAAACTTCATAGTATAAATATATTAATTGGTTAACTGTGTAGTTATTGGGAAGGAAGCCAGACTGATTTTTTGATATAACATTATTCTCAGATAGAAAATAAAAGAGATTTTTAAAAACTATTTTTTCAAGAAGTTTACTAAATAATGATGTGACAGAGATTGGTCTATAGCTACTGGGGTCACCTGTTCCTCCCTTGCACTTATATATTTGGGTAACATTAGCACACTTCCAAATATTAGGTATGCAACCAGTGGATATGGATTTGTTAAAAATTAACAGTAAGGGCTTTACAAGAGAGTCAGCAATACATTTAATAAAATAAGGGGAAGTGCATCTGGACCAGCAGTTTTTTTTTACATTAATAAGTTGGAGCTGATCATGAACATCCTAATGGAAGATAATTTTCTTGTGAGATAGGACAATTAGGAGGAATGTCAAGGTCAGTTTTGTCATAAGTAGAGACAGCGGTGTTCATAATAGACTTTGCAACCCGCCACCACTTATCTGGAGGAATAGATTTGTCAATAAGGGATTTTTTGAGTTTAAGTAGATATTTTTGCTTAGCTTCTCTTACAAGGTCAATAACTGTGTTTCGCATATCTCTAAATTTTTGCCAGGCTGCAGTAGTATTAGTATGTTTGGCCCTGGTATGTTGAAGATTTCGTTTCCTAATGTGTAATCTAATATCATTGTTCATCCAGACTTTATCATTTGGACGAATAGTGACAACTTTATGTGGTACATATTTTTCAATACAATTATGAATTTCACAGGAAATAAAATTATTCATAGTCTCTATATCAACATTTTCATTCAAACATGTATCCCAATCAATATTAGATAAATAGATGTTAGCATTAACAAAGTCAGTATCACTAAAGTACATAATGGTCTTTTTATATGCAGATATCCAACTAATTGGACTGTGGTCACTACAAATTGGAGTGTGGACAGAGGGATTTTTTACAATATCAGTATTGTTAGTCATAATAATATCGAGAGATGTAGAAGAGGTAGGAGTAGTTCTTGTAGGTTCATGAATAATGTTAGTAATGCCAAACTTAGTCATAATCCGCATGATGTGAGAATTTGGTTGTACGTTTAGCATATCCTGATTGATGTCTCCAATAAGTATATAATCTTTACCAAGTTCAGTGATATTGTCCAAGACATCATCAAGTTTACTCCAATAATCCACAACAGAGTTTGGGGGTCTATAGATGCAACCTAAGAGTAATTTTTTATGACTAAGGGTAATTTCAATCCAAATGATTTCTAAATCTGCTTTCTCTAAGTCTAGTCTCCTTTTAGATATAATTTTGTCATTGGTATAAATAAGAACTCCTCCACCTCTTCTATCAAGTCTGTCTTTACGGAAAATATGAGGGTGATCAGATAAAGAAATAGCATCGTCAGGGATAGAGTCATTTTTACGCTGACAGAAACTGTAACTATGCATCTCGCTTCTAGGAAAAATACCTTTCTTAATTGTTAAGTAAGACGGCTGCCAAGAAAATGTTCTTATGAATGCGCCTTGCAATTAAGATGTCATAATTAAACACGGTTTCATATATCTGATATAATTTGTTTCTGCGTTCCCGCGCAACGTTTCACTACACTTAATTATTCCATGGAAGCAACCATTGTTAACATAAACATATCCCAGCAATTGCTTAAGATAGACCAGCTAGATTCACCACCGGCGGCATTATCATCAATGTATCATTTTAAAGTGTCAGTTCAATTTCCAACCCGTAATTAATGTGATAAACCACATAGTGTAGAATAATGCCTGCTCTGAAATCGACGATGACCGATCCTGTCGACCATTCCTCTTCACTGACGGTTTTACCTGTACCAATTTACAAGCAGCAGTCTGTTCGATAAAACTAAAACTTAGAAGCAATCCTCATGGGTTTATGGGACTATCGCCCCTTTGGTATGGTTTATCCGTCACACCTTAGGGTATGGCTGATTACAAACACAAAGAATTAATACTTAAACATCACAGGAGTAATCAGATACAACGTCATATTCAGCACTTAACGGACGAGTTCATGTCCATATCAGGATAACAGGTTACAAATGCTGAAAACTATTGTTGGTAAAGTATTGGACTGCTGGGAGAATAATCCTCCCCTCCATTAAGGAAGCAACAGAGAAATCTCCAAATTTAATTTACTGGTACTAAATGAAACATCCTCGACTCAAGTGTCCCTAGCCCTTCAGCTAAACGGCACTTTATATGAAATAATATAATATAAACATTAATATTAATATTAATATAAAAGAAATGACACAAATAGTGTCTTGATAATCCCTAGTAACTTTACCTCTTTAGAGGTTTATAAGGGGATGTGTTTTTAACAGAACAACATGTGTCCACGACTCAAGTGTGCCTAGCACGATCAAATAACCAGAATATATCGCTTTCGAATATTTATATGAAAAGGGCTTAACAAATCCCTCACAAAACCTTATATTTTGTTCAGGTTAAAGGGTCCCAGCAAGTTAAGATGTAATATCCCCTTTGTTACCATTGTGTAATGATGAAAAAATGTATTCATCCCTTACCTTCAGGGTGCAGAGAAAAATCTCATAATTTGCTTTTAATCTTTATTATATATTTATTCAGTTCATACTAAAACGTATTTTGTTCTCATTGCCCGGTAGATACAACATTTCTGTGTGTATATATATACATATACATTAAAGAACGCTTAACGATGTTGACAGTGTGGACAAAATAAAGTCTGGGTTTTTTTTAAGCAGCACGCTCTTTTTTTAAGACATACAAGAGAAAAAGACTCATTACCCATAACCAAAAAAATATACTTTTAAATATTGAAAAAGAACAACGAGTTGTTTTCGCAAAGGTATGTTAGTATTTTTGCAATCGATGAATCCCGGGAATTCCAATGAAAGAGTAAACGAATCGTCAAAACAAATAGTTAAATTAAAACACTATTGTCCACGGTATATATACTTATATGAAAGTAAACATTTTAAAAACTGGATATGAGGTAGTATTAAAGAATTGAGATTACTATGACTGCATATATGTTTTGAGATAAAAATGATCAACATCATAAATAAAGGTAAACCCAAACATAACATTATGCAAATGAGCTTGAACAATAGATTGCAACATTGAGGAAGTATTGTCCTAAAGCTTATAAACCTGGGCCCTGTTGTTCAAATGGTGATAAGCCTAATCAGGTTTAAGCGTAAGATAAAAAAAAATATGTTTATTTCTAAATCACATTTATTGAGTTAAAACTTAGATAGCAAGTATTTAAATACAGTAAATGTACATTGCAAAACTACGAGTTTTTACCTAGTATATTGACCAAATTATTAAAGGTTGAAAAAGTTGTTAAACAGTGATAAGGCTGACCATCTTTCGAACAACTGGGTCCTATTTAGTATGAATAAGGAAAACTGTCATTCATCGCATCAATCTGTCTGTCAGGATGTACCTACTTGTACAGGGTCGGATGACAATAAAGTATCAGAGTACATGGGAAACATCACACTCAATGAAAATTGTTGTTAAAATGGTGATGAGCTTAATCAGACTTTAGGCAAAAAAAGATTTTTTTCTTAATCTTCATACATTTTGTAACACAACCATCAGCTGATTATAAACCTACAAATAACAAATATTTAAGTACAGTTAATTTGCATGCAAAACTATGGATTTTTATCTGGTTTGTAATCTAAATTATTGAGGTTTGAAAAATGAAATTTTACAGTTATTAAGCTAATCATCTTTCGAACAACTGGGTCCTTTTCACTCAGAATCAGGACCACTGTCATTCATTGCATCATTCTGCCTGTTATGATGATGTACCTACTTTGTACAGGGTCTGATACTAATAACAGTACATGCTAATCGTGTTATTCGTGTAAGGGACTTCAGTTGATGCTCATCGTTAACATCACATTTATGTTAAAATGTGTGGTCTAAGAAATTTAGCGATTCTGTTCCTGTTTGTTTTATTTCATATGAACCTTTATAGCTATTCGCAGCTCATTGGAGAAGAAAAGAAATATGTTTTTCTTGAACAAGCTGTGTTGGAGCGGGTGAGGTCCACATTGCTAGAAATGACAAATACTCTTGAAGCAAGAGTAGGACGTCTGGAAGAGGACAACAAGCGAACAGGTAAGGCAAACATATTGAGATAAGGAGAGTTTGTTTAAAGGTTAAACGTACCACTGCACACACACACACACACACACAGAGAGAGAGAGAGAGAGAGAGAGAGAGAGAGAGAGAGAGAGACACACAGAGAGAGACACAGAGAGAGAGAGAGAGAGACAGAGAGAGAGAGAGACACAGAGAGAGACACAGAGAGAGAGAGAGAGAGACAGAGAGAGAGAGAGAGAGAGACACAGAGAGAGACACAGAGAGAGAGAGACAGAGAGAGAGAGAGAGAGGGGGGGGGTCTGAGAGGACAACAAGCATTCACAGTGGTAAAGATGTTGAGTCCATGTGTGTCCGTTTATTAGTGCAGCCATTTATTTAACCTGAAACATAAAAATAATTTTAATTTCAACAGTAAAGTGGCAGGGAGTTACATTTGATAGAGTTTGTTCCAAGCATCTTGATCTATAGATATACTGTTTCATTATTAGTAGTATAAGGTTATCAGTTGTATAGTAAGTATTTTTATAGTTATGCATGCCAAAAATGAAAGTTTCCTCATTAAAAGTAAACGGAATAAATAATGAGTTCAATAAAAATTCAAAGTTCTGAAAAAATGACTGTACTTTTTCACATAGCAAATGAACTATCGTTTCTATTTCTGTTTTACAAAAATAGCTGTATGGAGTTTCTACCAATCCTTTCTTAAATATATGCGAATTAGTTGTTAAAATGTGATGATTTATTCTGTATTGTAACGAAATTCTTTGTACATTGCTAGAAATGTCAAAGGCTCTTGAAGAAAGACTAGGACTGTTGGAAAAGGAACTGAACACCGTCAAAAATATGAATCCTATTAATCCTTCAACAGGTAAGACAAACTTTTTGAAAATATTTGAGCTTATGCCGTACTGCGGTGTCCGTCGTTCGTCCGTCGTTCGTCCGTCATTTTTTCTTTTGAACGACTTCTTCTGAAGAACTGTAAGACCTAGGGTTATAATATTTTGCTAGTAGATACCTTGAATGAAATGCTACAGATTTTCCTTATAACAAAACGAATTTGACCTACCTTCGAGGTCACAGGGGTCAAATATATTAAAAAATTTAATCAACAATATGCTAAGTATCATTTGGACTAGAGTTATGATACTTGGGTATGTTATGAAGACCCGATGCGTGAATATTTTTCGTTATTACAGTAATAAGTGCAATGGTCAACTTTAGGTGATAGTCAGGGGTCAAAGGTCAAAATGGATTAAAAACTTTCACAATCTTGTTCTTAAGTTCTAAAAGGCCGATGATCATGATATTTGACCAGTAAGTATTTGGGATGGAGTGCTATAACATATCCTCATTAAAATGACCTTGATCAAGTTTCAAGGTCACAGGGGTCAAATATATTAAAAACCTCAAACAACAATACCTTAACCATTTAGTCTAGAGTCATGATACTTGGGTGTGTTTTGTAAACCAGCTGTGTGATTTTTTTTTATTGCAGTAATGAGGTCAAGGGTCAAATTTAAGGGCTTACCAGGGTCAAAAGTCAACGTGGGTTAAAAGCTGCTTTAAATTAAAGTTTCAAACGACAATATGTTAGGAACCGTTTAAGAGATGCGAAAATGTCTTGTGTTCTCGTTATGAATGAGAGATTACAAAGTGAAAACTTCCAAATAGTGTTTGACCCAACCTAAGTGATACATGTATTACCTGAAGGGGGAAAGTGTGTTTTTTACTCAGATAGTTCAAACACCAAGGGGTTAATATATCGGATTATTATGCCTCATCTTTATAACAACGTGTCTGTTTGAATGATACTCAGGTCACATGACATGGTAATAAAACATCATATCCCCTTCACATGCTCAATTGGTNTTCAAGTCCTTATGACATCAAACAATCTTAATGTCGTAAAAACTCATTTATTTCCATCTGAAATACCTTTGAGAAATCATTGTGGACTTCTCAACGTAATGACAAGATAATCAGCAATGCTTGGGAGCTACCCCCAGTCCCCTGATCATTTCAGAATTCTTACAAAAGATATATTGTTGCATTATATATTTACATTCCATTGATTTCATGTTATTAACAGCAGCGGAGGGTTAACTGGCTGACATGTTGGCTATATTTTTCATCATGTTTAATTTGATGTGATAACATAAATGATATCTTGCATTGCCAAATTTCTTGAATAAGTCATGTTTTAGTTAAAATTGCTTAATTGTAAGATGGAAGTCAAATAATAACATAAGTTTGTTGTTGTTGTTGTCTTCACATATTTAGCATACATTTGTGACAATTTTATAAATCACATGTTAGACGATGAGGTTTTCATTGACTTTATTAATTTCGACATCCAGGATGGAAACATTACAGGGTTCACAGACTATTCTAGAGCTTAACTGTTAACGTTGATGAAATCAATCGTGCACTTGATTTGGAAATAAATCACTTCAATAACTTGGAATAGAATTGAACTGTTCGAATTAATTATGTATCGCAATTTTTATTTTGCAGCCATGTCAATAAACAGTTGTCCTGCGAATCTATTTCGTTGTGACAATGGTTTATGTATCCCGAGAGAATGGGTATGTGACCACGAGATCGACTGTTCGGACAAATCCGATGAGAAATGTTGTAAGTGATACTGTGGCTGAAAAATAAAAATAAAATTGTTTACACCTTCTAACCAATAGGTAGAAAAATGGTTGAATTGTTAGCTCACCTGGCCCGTCCAGCGTCAATATTTTACTTTAAACAACTTCTTAATAACCAAAAGGCCTAGGGTGGTGATATTTGCCCAGAAGCAAAGTGGGATAAAGGACTACCAATTTTGTTCAACAAAATTACCTTAACCTATATTCAAGGTCACCTGGGTCGAATATGTTAAAAACTTTAAACAATCTTTTCCGATTAACCAAAATGCCCAGGGTAATGATATTTGGCCAGTAGTATGCTGGGATGAAGGGCTACCAAGTTTGTTCAATTTAATGACCTTCCCTTAAATTCAAGGTTTCGTGGGTCAAATGTCTAAAAAAAACTTTAAACAACTTCTCTTGAATAACCAAAAGGACCAGGATGTTGATGTTTTGTCAGAAACATGCTGCTATAAAGGGCTACCTTATTTGTAGAATGAATTACCGTGACCTTTCTTCTAGGTCACAGGGGTCAAATATGTTTAAAATCTTTAAATGACTTCTTCTAAATAACCATGAGGCACAGATTGTTGATATTTAGCCAGTAGTATGCTATGATGAAGGGCTATTGAGCTGTGTTTATTAGAATAATCTTGACCCACTTTCAAGGTCACATTTAGTCAGATATGTATAAACATTTAAATGACCTAATCTCAATAAACATAAGGTCTAGGGTGGTGATATTTTGCAAGTTGCTGAGATGAAGGGCTAACAAGTTTGTTTAACGTAATGACCTTGTTCGACTGTGCCACAGAGGCCAAATGTTTTAAAATCTTTTTAATGGGTTGTTTTGAATGACTCATAGTCATAAATACTCATATTTTGCATGAAACTTTATTTTAAAGCAATTTTAAGGGTTCAAGTGTGCGATTTATACAAAGTGAGCGTTGAAGGCCCGTTGGGCCTTTTGTTTTATGCTATATTGATTAAAGTGGTTTTTTATACCTGTGTTATAAGTTGTGTTATCCAATTGTTCATGCCTTGAAAGAGGGATGAATTTCCTTGAACATTTGACGAATTTCTTTGTCTACACTGTCGCTATAACTTTTTTGCTTATTTATCCGGTTGGTCAGATCGAGTACTATACATATGCACTCAAAAAATTGTTTCGGCCTATTTTCAGCCAGCAGTCGTCGTTGCTTATTAAGATAAAAGAGGAAGTATTTTATGTATGTGTACAAGCCGACATCAGACCTATGTTTATATTTTTGTTTTTGTACAGAACCGTTGATTGGCTGTCCCGCATCAAACAACTGCGCCGTTGTTGGTCTTGAGTGTAAGTTTCCTTAAAAGCAATCAAAATATGTATACAGTGTTTAGATACGGTTACTGTTTTTATTTCAATCTATTTTGGGGAAACCTTTAAAAAGGAAGAGAACAAGTATAACTTCTATTTTCATTTTCATATTTGTTCTTGTTACCGCTCTTTGTCGGAAAACGCTGATGTCGTCCTTCTCAAAATTCAGTATTCCATCTCAATATCGGTTTGACCGTGGTCCACTTTTAAGGTTACAAGTATTAGATTAAAACCAGGTGAGCGATGCAGACCAACTGAGCCTTTTTATTGAATCTGTTATTGCTTAGACGTACCCATGGCATTAAGTACACTTCAAAACAAACACAGTGGTATATAACAGGTACAGATATAGTTTGGTGTCAACATTGTATTGTTTTCATGTCGCTCAAGACAGAATTTGCAAATGAGCTTAATTTAGCAAAATTAAGTAAGCATGGATGGAAGCAGGAATGATGTTCTTTATTGCATCATGAAGCATGTCAGTAAGAACCTACCTAGTACAGGGTCGGATGATAATGTAGTACTTGTAAAACCTGTAAACCCTGGAAATTGCAATCAGGGATGCCTAATAAAAAAAATGTTATGTGCAATTAATGATTTATGGGTATCAATTTTACAGGAGATAAAATAATTCAGAAAAAAAATTGAAGCATCTATTTTGAACACAAATGACATTTTTTGAAAACACGTGCAAAATAATGATTAATTCAACACACCATATTTAGTAATATCTTTATCTATGCACAATATTTCCCAATGCAAATTCAAATATCCTTTGTTTATCATTTAACTATTTGTTGCGTTTTTTAGCAATGTGTGTAGCGCCAAAGTGTAAAAACATTTGTACTTTTTTAAAAAGAAAATATCGTTGTTATGTCGTCAGGTCCCCGATTTGTGATGGATCCAGCGACCTTATTTTCAAGCTTCATTTCCAAGGATAAGCTAGCATTGTCAAACAGACGACTGGACAGCAGCTATTACGGGCCAACAGAAAATGACCGGAATTACAAAGGGGCACAGGAATCAACTGTGATTACCAACCGACAAACAGTGTAATTCGAAACTGACATTTATTACCGAATGCAGCTGCATCGGAAAAGGCAATTTGTTAAAATAACTATGTTGGCGGCTGAAAAGGGGCGTGATCCATTTTTGCTTATAATATAACAAAGAGTGTAACTATCTGCAGCCAATTTAATGGCGGAAACATCACGACCTTAAAAACTCTTAGTGACACCACTCTGATACAGAAAAATACTTTGATTCTTCATTTACTGAGTTGACGGAACCATCGCTGTGTTTGACATTAACACGAACATGAAGATATACACCTTTATCAACATGGATGAGTTTATTAACCGACACGAGCATTGATTTTGAAAGCCAATTTACCTTGTGGTCTGTTTTAGCTTATACTCTCATATTAGGCAAAGGTTGCTATGGATACGACAACAGTAGGACAACATTTCAAACATTACCTATTTTTGATAATAAAAACGGTGTATACTAGTGGCAGAATAATGACACAGATGGACGTTTCGTAGTATAATTGACAGTTATTGTGAATCTGGGAAATGTTAGATGTTGGGTTGACATGTTATAATAATGATTTTTTTTATTCTAATTTAGACATGATTGACTACTATGTTTAGGTGTTTGTCTAGTTTACGATATGGCCGTGTTAAGTACATAATATATACATATTACAAACACCATATAGACGAATACGAAAAACCTAAACATAGGAGACTAAAACACTAAATGTTAGATACCAGTTAGTTGATTAAATTTTGATTTATATACATGTTAGTGGAAAGTTAATGTCAAACACATATATACAAGAATTTAAATAATATCAGCACTTTAATGAAATATACTAGCGGAAAAAAGAAACTGTGCATGCCTTAAATGCGTTATAAAAATAAATGTGCATGACGTAGAACAATAAGATTTTTCAGGGACAATTTATTTGTTATTTTCTAACAGTTGCATTCCATTTTCCTCGTTATGGAATCAATAAGTTCCGTCCAGGAGTGACGTAAACACAACAGGGGTTAATACTGAGTTCACAAAGATAATACCTCGTATGTCCACCGCTTGCCGGAATGCAAGCCTGGCAACGTCGACGCATGGAGCCGATCAGACGGTTCAAGAATACTTGTGGGATGACATTCCGGATCTATACCAACGCTGCAGCCAAATCAGCCAACGTCACCGGTTGATTAGGTAATGCCCGTAATCTGCGCTTTATTTCATCCCAGACGTGTTCAATGGGCGACAGATCGGGGGATACAGCAGGTCAGGGCAACACGTCAACGTTCTGCTGGGCAGCAAAGTCCATAGCGACACGAGCTGTGTGTGGCCTGGCGTTGTAGCGTAATGTGACGTTGCTGACCTTGCACGAATGGAACGACTTGGGTCCAGAGGATTTCGTCAATGTAACGTAGCGCGTTCAAATTCCCGTTTACAACCACAAGAAACGTTCTTCCGTTGGCTGTGATGCCGCCCAAAATCATAACGCTGCCACCGCCTGAAGAACGTCGTTGTACCACACACGAGTCACGGAAACGTTCTCAAACGCGATAATACACTCTTGAACGGCCGTCACTACTATCCAGGTGATTTCACGACTCGTCCGTAAACAAAATGCCTGCCCGATCCCGTCGAGTAAATCGCAGATGCCTTCTCCACCAGTCCAGACGTGCTACACGATGACGTGGCAGAGGAACTGGGTGGATTGCAGGACGTCGCGGACGGATAGCTAGTTCAAGCAATCGGTTCCGAACAGTTGTCCGTGCAGTCAAACTTGCCGTTTGGAAACGATTTCTCAAATGGACAAGCCGAATATGGTTGTCCTGTTGACGTGACGTCACACGTGGACGTCCTGCACGAGGTCGATCACCGACGTGGCCAAACTGTTGATGTCGTCTCCACAAATCCAGAATTGCGTTTCGATGGACATGAAATCGTGTAGAGACAACGGCTTGGCCCATACCAGCTTGTAGCATACAAATAATACGAAGGCGGTCATTTTCATTGAGCCTCGGCATAGCATTAATCACAAATTAAAACGTTATAATGCTGTTTTTGCTTTTCACTGGTTCCAACAGAGTGACCGAACAGTTGAAAAATAAACTTTTATTGTCGAATTGGATGGCTGGACGAGAAAAACGTGCAAACTGGTCAACGCCTATAGATAGCAAACTGAACGGGGAAAACTGACAACGCCACACGGATAGTGGGTATGTGTCATACTCAGTCATGTGTGCGAATTGTCAGGTATATACAGTTGATAATACTTGTTCTGTAACATTTTTTTTTTTCCGCTAGTATATGTTATTAACTTCATTTAGAGAAACATAAATCACTTAAATTAACCCGTTTCCAGTGCATGTAATATTTTCAATAATGAATGATGTATTTGCTGTACAATCGATTATCGTTCTCTATGTTGAATAGTGAGTCAGATTAGTTTAGGGTTCCCTTTTGAAAAGAGTTTTGATATGAGCTGTCTTAATCATTGTAGTACTTTTGCTCTAGACATGACTTAGTATGAGTCGACTTGATTTTCGAGTTTGTTCCATTTAGCTATGACTTAATAGTAAATCGACTTTATCACTGGGACCATTTCCCTCTAAAGATGACTAAGAAGTGAGTCGACTGTATTTTCGGGCAAATTTCTCTTTAGCTACATGTATGATTGTTGACTTTTATCACTTGAACACTTTGCCTCTAAATATGGCTCGGAGGTGAGTCAGTCGTTTATTGGTAACTTCCCCTTTGCTATCACTTTTGGTTTCAGTTTACGTTATCACTGTGATACTTCTTTATAAGAGTGGCTTAGAAATAAGTCGACAGGAATTGACAATAATATATCCAAATCACTTAAGAATAGCTAGGCAAACCATCCCATTGATTACTCGATTGTTACAACCTGACGGATTTAGTTGAAAAAGGGGCGCAATTTTATTAACCATTTTTCTTAGAAGAGATTGATTACACTGATTCATTTTTTAAAACAAAACAAAAATGATTTTTATTTTCTATATTTTTTATAGTTAGACAAATGACGAATTGGACATACGCTGTGTACATTTTACGATATGGTTTGCCCCAAGAAACACTAGAAATACAGTTTTAAAATATTTGTTCTGGTTTGAATTTTGTTTTTTTGTTGCCTTTTTTATTACTTCCCTGTTTGGTCTATTCAATCACTTACCAGCAACAATCCCCTATCCCCCCAAAATAATTTGTTTCGGTACATGTCTTGCGTCCTGTCTTTCTGAATCGAAACAAGGGTAGGTATGTCTCGTTATTCTATCAAAGACATATACAACTCATGCATGTTTGTGTTAAAGAATAAGATTTCTGTTATGGTAAAGAATTAGATTTTTGTAATCTTTTGGGATATGTGAACCAAAACTGTTGTTGTTGTCAGAGAGAGTTGACCCTCGGGCATCAAGCCCATCATAATCTATTTTTTTCTGATTATCGTTAAACGATATGTGAAATCTTTTACCTAACTGTCTACGATGTTTGCATTGAATCTTTGATATATGTTTGCTAATACAATTCAGTCAATTAAAAGTATTCTCGATTGTTTATTAGTATTTATAAAAAGTATTATCACCAGGGCCTTCAGTAGACCCTTTTAAGTATGGTTTCACTCCCCTAAATGATATTTAGCTCTCGGATTTTAAGAGACAGTTATATTTAACATATCATTGGCTCTCAAAAATAGCTTTGATAAATCGTTTCTGGAAAGGAAATCATAGCCAAGATAACTTTCATGAAAAAGGAATAACGGTGACGTAAACAATATACTCAAGCAACAGAGTTCTATGAATGAATATTCAGTATTGTAATACCAAGATTCAAGCCCTCTAACAAACTATAAAGATAAGTTCAAATCCAATATTTTGCAATTGAGCCAAACAAAATGCAAAATTGAGGAACTGTTGTCCTTAAGTTTATATACCTAGACCAGTTGTTCAAATGGTGATTAGCTTAATCAGTTTTTAGCGCAAAATTGACGTTGTGTTGTTTCGAATAACTAGGTCATATTTATTTCGAATCAAGATGATTGTCATTCATCGTATCATGCTGCATACATGCACCAGGATGAACCTCCTTTTACAGGGTCAGAGGATAATAGCTGAGTACATGGCAAGCCTGACACTCGATAAAAATTGTTGTTAAAATTGTGATAAGCTAAATCAGTGTTGCACACAAAACCGGTAAAACAAAATCCTCAAATGTGTTAAAACTTACAGGTAACAAATATTTACGTACAGTTAATTTACATCCAAAATAACGAGTGTTTATCTAGTATGCTAGCAAAATTATGGAGGATTGTAAAAATGTCGTTCATCAGTGACTAACCTAATCATCTATCGAAAAACTCGATCCTATTTAATTAGAATCAGGAAGACAGTCATCAATCGTATCATTCTGCACGTCAGGATGCAACTACTTAGTACAGGGTCAGATGACAATATCAGGTGACATGGAAATCGTGTTAATTGTGTAAGGGACTTCAGTTGATGCACATCGTTCACATCACTTTTATGCTAAAATGTGTGGTCTAAGGAATTCAACGATTCTTTTTCTTTTGGTTTTATTTCATATGAACCTTTATGGAGATACGCAGCTCATTGGAGAAGAAAAGAAATATGTTTTTCTTGAACAAGCTGTGCTGGAGCGAGTGAAGTCTACATTGTTAGAAATGACAAATACTCTTGAAGAAAGAATGGGACGTCTGGAAGAAGACAACAAGCAAATTACATCGAAACTGAACTCCATTGATGATCCTATTAATTCTTCAACAGGTAAGACAAACTCATTGAGTTTTGGCGAGTTTGCTTTAAGGTGAAAAGGTACCACTACATCAGCCTTAATCGAGAACAGGGAATGCCACTCGAAGTGTTTTGACTCCCATCTATGTAGAAGATGAAACAAGCTAAAAAGAGTTTTTCTTGCTTAGAGACACACTATCTTTTCATGAGCGTTGCGGCCAATACATGGGGAACTATGTTTTATCATTGGTACATGTAGTTATAATTCAAAGGTGGTGAAGTTGATAACGCTAAGGCTTCGTCATGAATGTTTCCCGATTTCGACCCAGCTGATTTCGAATTTGCTTTATTTTATTTGTTTTTTCCTATATGCAAACAATTATATATCGAACAACATTGACACTTCTTTTGAAAAAGTTTATATTATAATATTCATGATAAATTGCTGGTACCCTTTACTTTAAGGAAAAATGACATAGTCATTTTAAATTGGGATTTTATAATATAAAAAGATATTTGAGGGATTTTTTTAAAACAAATCTTGCGTTTATTAGGCTTTTTATCTCATGATATGATCAAATGATTTCCTGGTGATGACACAAATCTTAAATCAATACCATATCAACGTATTAAATAGATTTCTTAGGAGTTATATATATGTATATAAACGTAAGGCTTGAAAACGTTAGCGATTATCAAATTCATCTGCCGTTGTGTCTTTTTATATCTACATATTAAAACTATGCAATAAAAGGCTTTGATAAGATTGAACGTTTCATATATTTGATAAAGATGAATTCTTTACTGCATTTAACCTTTGGTTATCAGCTACCAGAGGGTTTAGTATGGTTTGTTTTATAAGGTTACTATTATAAGCGTAAGACATCTATTCATGATTTCATGTAATGCATGCGTGTATGTCTGTATGTTTGATGACGTCAGGTGTTTTTGCGTTCTTGCGATAACGCAGATCTTATACTGACTTCATAATGTTATCTCACAGAAATATCATGCCGTAGGCATCAAGCATAACATTCCGCCTGTTACATTATATACCAACAAGACAAGAGGTGAACATATTTTACCACTTTCCTAATTACTGAACGTTAATCAGGGGATTACAACTACCATGCTTAAGGACTTTGGTAACTGCCTTCCTCACCTGGGCAAACGTTCAACACTAAAGCCATCATTAAGGTATCACACTAGGAAACAAAATATAGTTAGGAGAAACAAGAAATAGAAAGATCCCAAAAATTGCAATGGTTGATGCAGATACATAGTTGTTGCTTTTGTGTTCCCTAAGGAGAAGGCACAAACACAAATTCTCAATAATACATGGGATTCCCGAATAACTCGCTCCTTACGATCAGTAATGGTTAACAGCAGATTTATTCTTTTTTTGATCCCGAACCTACATAGGTTCCCCTGGAGGGACAAGTGTTAACATCAGCATTTATTGTACAAGTTTGATGTATATCTTTTTTTGGTTATATTGATTATTGTGATTGTTTATATATTTGTTAAAGTTTGTGTTATGCAATTGTTCATGTTTCTGTCTTGAAAGAGGGATGGTTCACTTGACAATTTGACAAATTCCTTTGTCTACACTGTTGCTATTACTTCTTCGTACATATATCTCTGTTGTTCGGATCCAGTAATGTATATATGCATTCCGTAAAAAATTCAAAAGTACTTTCAGCCTGTTTTCAGTCAGCAGTCAGCACTGCTTATTAATATAAGGGAGAAAGTATTATATGTATGTGAATAAGTCGACACCAGACCTGATTTTTTTATATTTTGTTTTGAACAGAACCGTTGGTTGGCTGCCCCGCATCAGACAAATGCACAGGCCTTGGTCTTGAGTGTAAGTTAACCTAAAAGCAATCAAAATCTTTATCAAGTTAAGATACGGTAACTGTAATTATTTCAATTGATGTACAACATGTTTATTGGGTGACATTTAAAACAGAAAAACTAGTATGATAAAACAAGTATAAGCATTACTATTATTTCAAGTTCCGTGAGGTCAAATGTTTAAATGATATTTTAACTGCTTCTCAATACCTTAAAAAGCCCAGGGTGGTGATAACGAGGCAGTGCCATGCCGAAATAGAGGAATAAAACATTTGTTCGAATGTCCACTTTCAAAATCAGGTATGTGTATAAATGTTTAAATGACATCTCTTAAGCAACCAAAATTCACAGGTTGGTGATATTTTGACCAGGCGCATGTTTAGATAAATAAAATATTGACTTTGTTTAACTGAATTAACTATGTAAGATTTTCAATCTCATACATGTAGGGGCCTATTGACCAGGAGTCGTAGGTAATGATATTTAGTCTGTAGCTATAGTCCATCTCAATATCGATTTGACCGTAGTCCACTTTAAAGGTTACAAGAATGAGATTAAAACCAGGTGAGCAATGCAGAGCCATTGGGACTTTTTTATATTGCATCTGTTATTGCTAAGACGTGACCATGACCTTAAGTACACTATAATACAAACACAGTGGTGTATAACAGGTACAAGCATATATAATTTTAATTGGTGTCAACATTGTATTGTTTCCGTGTTGCTCAGAACAGAATTTGCAAATGAGCTTAAATTAGCAAAATTTAGGAAGCATTGTTAGAAGCAGAAATGATGTCAGTTATTGTATCATGAAGCATATCAGGATGAACCTACCTAGTACAGGGTCGGATGATAGTAGTAATTGTAAAACGTGACACTCATACCAAACCGTAGAATTTGCGTTCAGGGATACCTATTAAAAAGTGTTATGTGCAATTTATGAAAATAATTCAGAGAAAAAATTGAAGCATCGATTTTGAATACAAATACCATTCTTTTAATACACGTGCAAAATATTGATTAATTCAACACACCATAATTTAGTAATATGAAGACTTTATCTATGCACACATATTTCCTAATGCAAGTTCAAATTTTCTGTTTTTATCTTTTAAATATTTGTTGCGTTTTTTAAAAGAAAATTTCGTTGTTATGTCGTCAGGTCCCCGATTTGTGATGGATCCAGCGACCTTATTTTTAAGCTTCCTTTCCAAGGATAAGCTAACATTGTCAAACAGACGACTGGAGAGCAGCCATGACTGGCCAGCAGTAAATGACCGGAAATACAAAGGGGCACAGGGATCAACTGTGATTAGCAGCCGACAAACAATGTACTTTGAAACTGACATTTATTACCGAATAGAGCGGGACCTAGGTGAAAGAAACCTGGTTTTTGAGGTTGGTTTTGCAACAGAAAAGGCGATTGGTGAAGGTCTCTATGTCGGTGGAAAAAAAGGGGGGTGGTCAATTTTTGCTTATAATTTCACACAGGGTGTTACTCTCTGCAGCCAATTTAAAGGCGAAAAGTTCCTGACCTTAAAAACTCTTAGTGACGCCACTTATGGTACAGAAAAATATTTGAAACTTGGATTCTTCATTAACAGAGTTGACAGATCTATCGGTGTGTTTGACATAAACATGAACAGGAAGATATACACTTTTACTAACGTGGACGGATCTCAGGAATTGTGGCCCGTATTTGGCGTTTATTCAACGACAAAAGCAATTGTTCGCCTTCGACTGAACGTTGAAAGAGACATAATCAGTGTTCCGTGTGGTCTATTTTAGCTAATACTCTCATATTCATCAATGATTGCTTTGGATACGACAAAAGCAAGACAATGTTTTAAAAGTTACAAGTTTTTGATATTTCAAACATTGAAGAACAGTGGCAGAATTATGACACAAATTGAGATTTCGTAGTATAATTGACAGTTTATTGTGAATTCGGGAAATGTCAGATGTTTGGTTGACATGCTATTATGATAAAATCTTTTTTTTTATTTAGACGAGGTAATATGTTTAGGCGTTTGTCTTGTTTACAACATGGCTGTGTAAAGTACATAGTATATACATATAACATACACAATATATACGAATATGAAAAAAAAAACACAGGAGACTAAAACACAAATGTTAGATACCAGTTAGTTGATTAATGGCAAACAAATATATACAAGAAGTTAAATCATATCAGCACATTAATGAAATTTGTTAATAACTTCCATTAGAGAAATATAAAGAAGTAAATCGATTTTATTTTTGAGTACTTTCCCTTTAACTTTGACTTAATCGTGAGTCGACTTTACCACAGGGACACTTTTCCTTAAGACAAGGCTAAGAAGTGAGTCGACTGGATTTTTGGCATATTTCTCTTTAGCTACATGTATGACTTAATAGTGAATCGATTTTATCACTAGAACACTTTCCCTCTAAACATGGCTTAGAAATGAGTCGATCGGTGTTTTGGGCACTTCTCTTGATATGACGTTTGGTTAAGTCTACTTTATCACTGTGGTACTTTCCCTATAGACGTAGCTTAGGATTTTTTGGGCATATTTCCCTTTATTTTTTGACTTGATAGAGGGTCACTACTGACTAGGGCACTTTCCCGCTAGATATGTACTCTTTGCTCTTTAGATTTAGAAGGGAATTCAATTGATCATTGGGCCATTTACCTTGTTGATATACCTATTTGGTGAGCTTACTGCAATATTTGGATACTTTCCCTCCGGATATGACTAGGATATGTTATTCCAAAATCACTTGAGATTAGCGCGACAACCCAACCCAGTGATTGCCCGGTAAGTATATCTTGACTGACTTAGTTAAACAAAAAGCGCACTTCCACTAACAGAATAGAAGAGATTGATTGCACTGATCCCTTTTCAAAAGAAGAAATATATTTATGTTGTCTATAGATTTTATATGTAGAAAAATTATGGATTGGCCATACGCTGTGTACATTTTAAGATATTGTATATTGATTAATGCATATATGTTTGCTAATACAATAAAATCAATTCAACATATTCTGGATTGTTAAATAGTTGTAAATAAAAGTAGTATCACCAGGGCCTTCAGTTGACCCTTTTAAGTATGGTTTGACTCCCCAAAGTGATGTTTGACTCTTGGATTTTAAAGAAAAGCGCTATTTAACATGTTTTTGACTCTCCAACATGATATATTTGACTTTTGGGTTTAATAGGACAGTTCTATTTGACATATGGTTAACTCGCAAAAATTCAATAAAAATTATATTTGATATTGCCAAACGTTAAGGGGCAACAGAAAACCTTTATTATCAGTGTTTAAAACTGTGAAGATTCATGTAATACTGCGAAAATGTATGCTCAGCATTAGAAATCGTTTCCGGCATGAGTATAGCTTTACTAAATCATTTCTGGAAAGGAAAACATATCCAAGAAAACTTTCATGAAAAAATGATAATGGTGACGTAAGACATACATGTATATTAAAAAAAAGAGTTCTATGAATGAACATTCTGTATGTAATACTAACATGCAAACCCTACAACAAACTAAATACCTGGTCAACGATACTGTTTTTGCCTTATTCCGCTACAGTTACATCGAAATCGAAATTAAAGGCTTGCTTCAGTATACTGTATACCAGGAAACCCATGAAATCAGACTTTAATTTCTCCCATTAATAACTTTGTATTTATTATTCTGTTTACTTAACTTTGCTGTCATGATGAATTCGCCCGCATCACCGATAGCGAAAAAGGCGAATATTGAACTTCAGCGAAATGTTTCCAGTGTACAGTATTCACAAACACATCGAAATTCTCGAGTGTTTTGTCTGCGGTGAGACAAGGATCCTTAAGACAGACATCAACTGCTTTTTGACATTATTTCTACTTGAAAAATTCTACATTATCTCTTTTACAATAGAGTTGTTCTGTATCCACTCATAAAAATCGCATGATCCTGGTACAGCTATGAGGTAATATAATATATCTTATGATGCTTTGGAGGATAGAAAAATGCTACTTGAGCATATAAAATTCACCAGTTTTTTCCATTTTTTTTACAAGGAAACGTGGTAAAAAGACATTGTGAACTCAACAATAAAAATAGTAGATTTTCTAGATACCGGTACTATTTCAAGTTAGGCAAGGGCCTATTTAGAGAGAAATATGTGTCAATTCGGAGGTACATATTTAAGGGATTTAGAACATTTTCACAGCAAGTTTTGTTAAGAAATATTTATTTTTGTGAGTCGATTCCTGACGCCAACTATTGTTTTGCATTAGATATTCTACCGCTGACCAATGTGTCAACAAAATGACGTCACATCTCAGGACATCAACAGATAGGGTACAGAACATTTTGAACTCCAACATTTGTTTATGAAGACAAATCTAGTACGTAAAATAAACTAGGGGTCACCAGGGTGCAATGATGAGATAAATACATCCAATGTAGGCATTCCACATGAGGTACTTGTATCGTACATGCGCAAAGGTGAGATGAAATGTCATAAAGTACCTAACATGAGCAGGAAATTTAAATCTGATCATACTTCCTCGACTCAAGTGACTCTAACCTAATAAAATAAAAAAAACATTTATATATATATATATATATATAATAACTGATGTTTTATTATTTATTAAAAAAGAAACAACAACATATATGTTTTGAAATAAAAATAGAAATAAAGATAAGCTCAAACTTAAGATTGGCAAGGGAGCCTGAAAAAAAAAGGAAAAAAGTATTGTCCTTAAGTTTATAAACCTGGGCCCAGTTGTTCATATGGTGATTAGCTTAATCAGTGTTTAGCGCAAAATTGACGTTTTTGTTTATCTCTAAAACACAGTCATTAGCTTGGTTAAAACTTAAAGATAACAAATATGTCAGTACAGTTAATTTACATACAAAACCACGAGTTTCTTCCTTGTATGATAACCAAATTGTTTGAGATTAAAAATGTCGTTAAACAGTGATTAGGCTAATAATCTTTCGAATAACTAGGTCATATTTATTTAGAATTAGGAGGATTGTCATTCATCGTATCATGCTGCATACATGTATCAGGATGCACCTACTTGTACAGGGTCAGATGTTAATAGCAGAGTACATGGCAAACCTGACACTCGATGAAAATTGTTGTTCAACTATTGATTAGCTTAATCAGTGTTTAACGCAAAATTATTTTTTTGTTTATCGTTAAAACAAAATCAGCAAATGAGTTAAAACTAACAGGTAACAAATATTTACGTACAGTTGATTTTCATCCAAAACTACGAGTGTTTATCTAGTATGCTATCAAAATTATGGAAGATTGGAAAAATGTCGTTCGTCAGTGACTAACCTAATCATCTATCGAACAACTCGGTCCTATTTATTTAGAATCAGGAAGACAGTCATCAATCGTATCATTCGCATGTCAGGATGCACCTACTTAGTACAGGGTCAGATGACAATATCAGGTTACATGGTAATCGTGTTAATCGTGTAAGGGACTTCAGTTGAAGCACACTGTTCACATCACCTTTATGTTAAAATGTGTGGCCTACGGAATTCAGCGATTCTGTTTCTTTTGGTTTTATTTCATATGAACCTTTATGGAGATACGCAGCTCATTGGAGAAGAAAAGAAATATGTTTTTCTTGAACAAGCTGTGTTGGAGCGAGTGAGGTCTACATTGCTAGAAATTACAAATACTCTTGAAGCAAGAGTAGGAAGTCTGGAAGAGGACAACAAGCGAATTGTATCGGAACTGAACTCCTTGAAGAATGTGAATCCTATAAAGCCTGCACCAGGTAAGACAAACCTGTGGAGATTGGGAGAGTTTAGTTTAAGGTAAAAGGTACCACTGCATCAGCTTTAATCGAAAAGAAGAGTTCCACTCGGAGGTAAGACGAGCATATCTGTTGACTGGGAGATCGGATGACGATTTTGTACTGTAGTGTTTCCTGAATAAATATAGGAAACTGGAATTATCATTCGAAATTGATCTTTTGCAAATAAAATGATTAAGTGAGAGATTTGTTTTGATATAATGAGTGCAGTGTTTTAGCTTTTCAAATTTCATTACATAATTAAAGACAATTTCCAGATTATGACTGGTGACACGTAAAATGTGAATAACATTGCAAATACTGTGTCCTTCATTATCATATAAAGTATAAAACATAACTTGCTGGTTAATTATATTTTCCCTTCCTGTCCCTACTTAGTTGTCTACAGTTTTAATCGAGTGTGGTTTATTATAATCACAATTCACATTTCTTAACATATTGATATTACTCTAATGTGTTTCAGATGAAATGATTGATACCATTATCATTATAAATGGTTTAGTAAATATATAATAAAGGCGGATTAAATCGTGATTTAAATTTTCCCCTATGGATACCCACTTTCAAATTCAACTGTGTTTGCCCACTGCCGCTGGGGTGCTTAGATCGGAAAGACGACAGCTTTTTTGAATGGTCGACAAAGAAATTCCACAAGTAATAAAGCTATATTTTTTCACATTTCATGAGTAATAAAAACACATTATACAAACTTATATAATTATAAAATACACTTAAACAAGAATCACACGTACCTCCTGCCGGCTTTCAGCAAGGTCGTCGGATGAAGAGCTCTTGAAAGCAGACGGAAAGTACTTAGGAATACTGTTTCAATATTAAGTATTAATTATAAATACACATCAAAAATGTCAAGTCCTTGTGATGGTTGAATGTAAAAGAATCGACAAAAGAGTTTCCCCTGATGAGCCTCTAAAGAGATGAAAGTAGTAAGGAAGTACCAATGAACTATGTTGTCATTTTTTTTATATATATATAATAGATATCCATGTGAAGTGGTTAAGTATAGAAAGAACACGATATAATGACCTAATTGTACAAAGATTTCAACCTTCACAGGGCTCCTTTTGTTTAATACAAAAGGACAACGTGATGACGTTACTATTACCTATCATCACACTATAATAGTAAAGTGACGTCACAATAGTATTGTTAATTTAAAAAAGTATATATAGCTGCTTCACAGTGAAGTGTAGTGATTCTCCCATGGTGCTACATGTACCTACAAAACAGAAGAAGCAATTATTTGAACAGACACCAAGACACTAAATGTTCTTCTTTTGTTTTTTGTACAGAAGCAGTGATTGGCTGCCCTTTATCAGACAACTGTGCTGTCTTTGGTCTTGAGTGTAAGTTTAAAGATATCAAAATATTTATTAAGTTTAGACACAATTATTGTAATATTTAATTTATTGGTAATAATATTTATGGAGTCACAAACAAGAACGAATAAAGGATGGAAATGTCAAAAATTAAACAAAAATGGGAAGGTTCGAGTATTTGTATTGTTTTTCTATTTGATTTTATTGTAAGAACGTCTAAAATTTGTTCTTCACTTATATAACATGATAATTTGTATGATGTCAATTGCTACAACATTATGAGTATTTCAATATAAACACTAAGTGGTGCAGAGCAGAAAGCCACAATATGACGTAAATAGGTTTCAGAGTTGATGTTTAGTATGTCGTAACAAGCGTTGACATATTCAATATGTTTGCATTCAAACAACATTAATTGTTTCCGTGTCACCAAAAATCAATATTTTGCAAAAGGGCTTCAAATGAATCATCAAAATTCAGAGGGTATTGTCCTTCTGTTTATAAACCTAATATTTAGAATCAGGATGACTATCATTCGCACTAAGGATGTAGCTACTTAGGACTTTGTCAAATGATAATAGCGGAGTACGTGGAAAACGTGACACACAACTCAAATCGCGGGAGTTGTGTTCAGGGGTTAATTTTGTATTCAATAAAGTTTTATGTGCACTTTATCATTGCAATATTGGAACAAAATAGACATGCGATAAAAACTTAAACCAAGTTTGAAGCATTGGTGATATGCTGTATTTGATTTATATCTCCATTTTTTTTAATGCAGATGACATGTTTTTGCAGCGCTTAACGTACAATACTCTACTAATGTAACGATCTATGACCATATACAACAATTCATATCGGCAACTCAGATAAAAAGTTAAAAGAAAATAGGATGTATAAAACGTCGTTATTTGTCGTATAGTTATAATACAGACAATGTCAAGGTGTGAACATATATTTACCTTTTTAAAAAATAAATATCATTATTTTGTCCTCAGGTCCCCGAATTTTTATGGATCCAGCGACCCTGTTTACACGTTTCCTGTCCAGGGATAAACTAACAATGTCAAACCGACAAGTGGATAACACATATGAAGGACAAACAAGAGGTGACCTAAACCGGGTGTACGAAGGGGTACAGGGGTCAATTGGCATTACAAACCGACAAAAAATGTACTTTGAGACTGACATCTATTACCGAATAGAAAAAGATTTAAGTGCAACAAATCTGGTTTTCGAGGTTGCGTTTGCAACTGAAAAGGCGATCGCTAAAAGTCACTATGTCGGTCGACAAAATGAGGCGTGGTCTATAAATGCGCACAATTCTTTTAACCAGGGAGTCACTCTCTTTTTTAAAAGTAATGGAGGCAGTATAGGGCATAGTGAAATTCTCAGTGACGCCACTTCCGGTACAGAAAGGTACTTGAAACTTGGATTCTTCATTAACAGAGTTGACAGAACCATCGCTGTGTTTGACATTAACATGAACAGGAAGATATACACCTTTACTAACGTGGACGGATCTCAGGAACTGTGGCCCGTGTTCGGCGTTTATCAAGCGACAAAAACATTTGTTCGCTTTCGACTTAACACTGCAAGCGACATAACTAGTGTTCCTTGTGGGCTGTTCTAGACTTAGGTTAAAACTGATTCCTTAATTTACTCTAATTATTTAAAGACTGTTGTTTAAACGAAAAAAGGGAAAATTAATTTTAAAAAATTAAATGGTCTAAGCATGTCAGAATAAATGCATGCACTATTTGTTGCATGTGGATAGTATTTTTTTAATGTTTTAAATAATGGTGGTGTGCAACCATAAACGAAAGTAATGAACGAGTTGTCGCCCTTGGGAGGTTGACGAAGAAGGCAGAGAGGCCCAAAAGAAAGAGATAGCTTGGGGTGGAAAGCACGGGCGCGAAGGAGAAAACGATGATCTGGACTGGTGTTTAGCGCGGTAGGACACTAAGTGGACGTTGTCCGGGATGGACATCGACACGTGTGTGGTCATGCCAAAGAATCGCGAGTGAACTGTTCGTGTTGGCCAATATTCACGTGAAATACATCCCCCTTTGTGGAGTGTGAGACATGTGTCGCGTACGCGTGTGCAAGTGACATTTGGGAGGCAACACCGGTGCTGGGTTACATATCGTGTGATAAGATGCATTGTTGTATTTGAAACGATATACTGTTATTATATATAAATGTTTTAACTTGTTTCAACGCTTCTGTTATATTTCACAGCTCCAACAAACAAATAATTTTAATTATATCTAACGAAAGATCCCAAACAAATTATCCAAAGATCCGTTCTTTTGACAAAGCATGGTAATGGCTGAAAAAACTAACATAACCAATATGGTGCCTCCTGTTCAGGAAAGGATGTTCATGCAGACGGTAAATGTTTCTTATCATGACAGTCACTAGAAATCCAAAGTTGGAGTAAATTGCGTGTTGTTGTATTTATTTAACTGACGGCTCACTGTAGCGTTTGGACTCTCTAAGATATTAAGGATAGTCGATTAGCCGAGAACTCTAAGGGATGGAGTTCTACATTACTGCTAACCCCGGACGCTAAGATAATAAGTTCTACATCATTGCTAACCGTGGACCCTTAGGTGATAAGTTCTACATTACTGCTCACCGTGGACCCTTAGGTGAGAAGTTCTACATTACTGCTAACCGTGGATCCTAAGATAAGAAGTTCTACATTACTGCTAACAGTGGACCCTTAGGTGAGAAGTTCTACATTACTGCTAACCGTGGATCCTTAGGTGAGGAGTTCTACGTTACTGCTAACCGAGGACCCAAAGGTGAGAAGTCCTTCATTACTGCTAACCGTGGACTCTTAGGTGAGAAGTTCTTCATTACTGCTTACTGTGAACCATTAGCTGAGGAGTTTTACATTACTGCTAACCGAGGACCCTTAGGTGAGAAGTTCTTCATTACTGCTAACCGTGGACCATCAGGTGAGGAGTTCTTCATTACTGCTAAACGTGGACCCGTAGGTGAGAAGTTCTTCATTACTGCTAACTGTGGACCATTAGGTGAGTAGTTTTACATTACTGCTAACGGAGGACCCTTAGGTGAGAAGTTCTACACTACTGCTAACCGAGGACCCTCAAGTGAGAAGATTTTTTTAACAGATAACTATGGAACTTCAGGTGAGGAAATCTACATCACTGCTAACCGAGGACTGCCAGGTGAGAAGTTCTACATTACTGTTTACGGTGGACCCCAAGAGAAGTTAAAAATGACCACCAGATAAGCTATTATACAAAACTGTTAACCGAGGACTCTCAGGTGAGGAGTTCTACATTACTGCTAACCGTGGACCCTCAGGTGAGTAGTTCTACATTACTGCTAACCGAGGACTCTCGGGTGAGGAGTTCTACATAACTGCTAACCGAGGACTCTCAGGTGAGGAGATATACATTACTGCTAGCCGTTGACCCTTCAGCTGAGAAGTTGTTAATGTCCACGGTTAGCAGTAATATAGAAACCCCGACTGATGGTCCTTGGTTAGCAGTACGGTAGATCTCCTCATCGGAGGGTTCTCGGTTAGCAGTAATGTAAAACTTCGCAACTGAGGGTCCACGGTTAGCAGTAATGTAGAATTCCTCACCTGAAGGTCCACAGTTATCAGTAGTATATAACTCCTCATCTTAGGGTCAAAGGTCAGCAGTAATGAAGAACTTATCACCTGAGGGTCCACGGTTAGCAGTTATGTAGAATGTTTTATCTAAGGGTCCACAGTTAGCAGAAATGTAAAACCCTCACCTGCGACAAATACCACCCTAAACCATCACACTACCGTCCCGTTAACTACACGCTGCAGTTCTCAAAGCGTCTACCCCGACGTCTCCGGACTTTGTGCCTGGCATCACAAGCAGAATTTTGATTCATCCTGAAAAGGTTCACTTTTCAATTGGCGTAACATCCGACAATGGTTTGTACGGGCAGTTACGGTGACGATGTGGTTCATGTGTAAGGGTATTGTGCTTGTGATTGGTCTACTTTCAAGTGGTTTTGGCTAGTTCGGGCGGATATACGCGACCAAGAGATATCATCGCGGTCTCAGTCGTAGGAACAGTATCCGGCTGTCTTTCCGAATAGTCGTTTATTCAGACGATTCAATAATATATGTATCGTCCTCGCACTGTTACCACATTCCTGTGAAACTTGACGTTGAGACATTACCGGAAGACTCATGTCAAAGCCTCTTTCTCTCCAAATTTGAGACAGCCCTGGCATAATGAAAATGTGTATTGTTGATATATAAAAAAAATAGTTTTAAGTAGTAAGTCACGGATATAAGTCACGAGTTATTGCAAAAACGCATGATCTGTTTGGTACTTCAAGAAGTATACTCATTACTTCAAATCTGAGCTTGATTAATTACAAATGTCTTTATAATTACAATGTTAAAGTCTCTGCTCCAACTCTGAATGCCTTCAAATCACTCCATATAAACGGTATCTCTTGTTTTAAAAGATTTTCTCTTTCTATATGATTATAACATACCTACAATATATATCTCCACAACCCTAGTTTTGAGTCAATATATTTGAACAGTTCGGTAATGTTTTTATATGTATCCTTATGTGGTTTTATAGGTACCTAATGTTGTAAATAAAATATAATCTACATTGTGAAAATGTGTTTTCTTTCCATGTAATTACGGACTACAATGTTAACAAAATTATCAATACCTGTAACTGACCGTTTTTGTTTTTAGTTTCGGACTGAAATTCTGTACCATCCCAACCAATGCTTTACGCCTCGGTTTGGATTTTGTTAAAGGATCTTAGCCCTCTCTTGTAAGATAACCCGATCTATAAAAGTTACAGATTATGGATTTTATCAACCCCAGCTACGCCCCTGCGTGACAGGTGTAGGCTGTCGCTGCAGACTGTCGCATTACGACGTAGTTGTTGAATATCCTTAAACACTACATAGCATACACCATCGAGGTCAAGAGGGATCAACAATGGTACTATACAGCTGTCAGGGAAGTGGTCACACAATCGACACACATTTCCCTGTTTGTATTTGACGAAACGCTCTTCCCACATCCTTCCCCGTATATGTAAACAAGCGAGCCACGGGACAGTTTCCGTTGTCAAATGATGTCAGTGTTTATTGTCCATCGTTGGTCGACCAAATGGCAACAGATAATGAAAAATACTTCCCAAACATACCAGGTAAAAAGGACATAATATGAGAAATGCCCACCAAAAAAAGCATGGCTTGCTATGTAATGAAGACATCAGTGCACTATGTGACTAATGTTTGCAGGTCCAACAACCTCATTTGAATAATTAGATTATCTAGGTCACCTTGCTTATCATTGGCATATATACAGACTTTGGTGGACACGAAGAAGATTTGCATTACACACAACTGCGTAGAATAGATCTATACAACATATGTGTGTATATTATGGTGTAAATATAACTCTGGATATGAAAATGTTGGACAAATAACCATCTCAGGCCGCACCCAAACGGTCATCGCTCAATAATCTTTCTTATCCTCGTTATATATTTCATCATGTTGATAATTTTTGATTAAAGACGGATGAAAATATTAATGTACAGTGACTTGTGTTTTACATATGAAATGTAATGTGTCCTGTATCTCTATCTAAATACTTTTACGTGTAATACACAATTTACAAAGAACCGACGAAAAAGAAACTAATTTGACATAATCATGATTTACGAAGGAAGTTTATCTTTATATTTTTTGAAATGGAGTTATTCCCCTTCATTTATAAATGAATTATGTAATCTCATAAGGTTTTATTTTCAAAAAGGTGAATAAGATATGTAAATGATATTGCAGTGAACTTATGTAGCAAAATGTATACTGAAAATGTTCTATTAAAAATATAAAGGTTAAAATTGATTTGTGTATTTTTATAAGTTTTGATCACTATCTTTAGTATATATAAGACTACATGCTGCTTGCTGTTACAGGTCCCTAGGATGTGACTTTAACCGTAGCCGAGAATTTTACTGCTACTAAATGTATTATTTTATTTACATACATTTTTCACTGAAATGCAAATACTTCGCTTAGTTTACGATATAATGCATCATGCAGAATCCAGAAATGCTATTAATTATAAGAACTTTTTGGAAAAGTGTTTGGTCTCTTTGACACTTTCGAAGACGTCCTAAAATATTTCAACTTTGGGGAGAGTCCATAAGGGCAAATTTAGACATCAATCAGGGAGAAATATTTCATAATTTTTCAATAGTAAAAGAGGGTATAGACAAGCAGACCCTATTGTGCCATACATTTTTACGCTTATTGTAGAAAACTTCATTTGAAGAGAACGAGTAATGAAAATTGTTCAATTATATTATCACAATACGCTTATGTCACTGCAATTTATTATGGCTCTAAAATGACACTGAATTAAGCAATGAAGGAACTTACAGCATTTGTGAAAATGTATGGACTTCAAATATATGTTGTGGAAAATAAAACATTATGAACAGGTAGCAGAAAATACTGAGAAGACATTTGTTATCCTGCATGAATTTTGCGATGGGTCCTTACAAAATTTACTCTTAAAGGTATTGTATTTGAAATGGATTTGCATTTAATCAGTAAGCTACGTTTTGAAATAGAAAAGTAAGTAAAGCTTAACGCAATTATCAATCCTTTGAAAGAAGGATAATTTCCCCGATTGGAATAGTAAATGTAATAAAATAACAATTTTGCCTTACATTAATAGCTCTTCCGCATCTATCAAAATGTCATCAAAAGCTGCCGAAATTGTTCAGCTCAATTTGGAATGGTGAAGTGCACAAACTCAAAAAATTGACGATTAGTATTGAAAAGCAGAATTTTTGTTAAAACCTCCAAAGAGGTACCTCTTATGTAGCCTGGTATAATAATAAAAAAAAACATTACAACGTTGATTATTTAGGAAGATAATAACATGTACAACTATGTTAACTTCAAACAGTTTTATGACGTATTAAAAAATTTAATAAACATAATAAGGAAAATATATTTAAATCATACCTTTCCTTCAACCTAACTAATAAGGGATTTGTTTTACAATTTAGCGAATTTACTCTGTGAAAACAATATTATCTGAACAGAGAAGGAAAATATGGAAGAAAAGTTTGATATTGATACTTTTACATGGGAAATATTTATGAAAGTCCCTTCGAGACATATAAAACCCCGAAAAAACGG